ACAGTATACTTGCAGAGTTACTGACACTCTGCTTGGTTTGCACGGCCTTATTCAATGATACTCGAACCATACCTGTCCACGATCAAATTAACACGCGCTCTCAACCAATCGACGTATTCGGTGTTAAATAAACCAACCAAGAAGTGAAGTACCCACATTTTCTTTTGAGAGAATTCATGCAGTAACGCTGGGGCTGGTTAACGAATGACTGACATGCATGCTACCTACACGCATTTTTTTTGACAGCGAAGGCTACAGCGGCGTAAATGCACACCTCATAAATTTGCCAACCATTTATTCTAGCCCCGAAATAAGATCACATACCGGTATTTCAGAGTTAGCCAAAATCAACACCGACTTATACATGTTCTCTTACATGTATCTGTTCCCAAACAGAAATCAACTCCGAATCTACTCTGGTTTGTAACCTGATCCATGAACAGCAGATATCAAAAAAAATTTAAACAAAGTATGCACCAAAGAAAACCTAACTCCTGAAATGCTATTTTAACCCGCCACCCAGTGTTCTTCTTTTCACCTAAGTCTGTTTCTTTTATTGATCCCAAAACTAATCGACTGTAGAAAAAAAATATTGGCTGGATTTATTATTTACACCTCTCTTTTAAACCAGATTTCCAGATGCGCAAACTGAGATATCCTCTGCAATTCTGAAGACGCTGGTAAAGGTAAACCGTTGGTAACAGGAAGGACATATTACTTATTATTCTACCAAAAATCAACCTCCACGTGAAGCACTTTGCGCACTGTTTGCTGGCGTACCAGCAACTTCACCTCAACCCGTCAATGAAAATGTTCCTGGTTCGCCCAGTTACACAGAAAACACAATAGCTTTCACGGCTAAAGAAAAAAAAAACAAATATATGTGCATGTAATAACAAAGAACAGAAAACGTTCAATGTGGATCTATACGCAAAGACAACGTTACAGAGCAAGAGGTGTTAGGCTTATATACTTTTGCCTTGATTTATTGAGCATTTTATTTCATCCAATATAATTTAATAATATTCAACGCGTCGTTTAAGCAACCACCTTTAAAGGATTTAGTTTACAATAAGTATAGTCTTACAATAAAACACAGAAGCATAGCGCAAACCTTTCATTATGGGCGACATTCTTATCTACCCCAACAGGTGATTGTACAATGATACATTGTACTAGACATACCATAATTTCTTGGGCGTTTTGCCAAGAACCTTCTAGACCCTTCACAATTAAACAAGATCGATGTAGTAAATTAATGGAACTTTTCAATATTTGCTGTTCTCTGCGTTCCTATAATCCATCAAAATGCTACACGACCAAGTGGTGAATTTCATAAAACTTTGCACCTGACCAATTGTGCAGCATGAAGTTTGTTTTTACGAATTTACGGGAAGAGAGTCATTTGGCCGGTCTGCGCATCCACACACGTGTTTGTCAGTAGCAAAATATACCAACAACGAATGAAAACAAATTAATGCCACTTAGAAAAGGTGTTCATTGCTCAAAACTAACAGTATAAAGGTAAACAATGGCCACTTTTTGAAAAAAAAAAAGAATCCCTGGTTGTTTGGCAGTTTATCGAACAAAGGTACACGTACTTAGGCAGACAATACCTTCAATATTTGACAGACAGACTCACAAATGTAACACATGTACATGTATTCATCAACAGTTGTACGCACATTACGCCACACGTACTGATCTTAAGAAGAGAACATTGTACACATTCAATTGACTTTCTAGTACCGTAATTATTTGGACCAGATTACATGCTTGGAAAATGAACAAAAGGTCAACTTCAACCGAGAGCTCCAAATTACGATGTACCGGGTACAAATGCCATGCAGCATGCAAATGCAATTAAGAGACTAAAACAGCATCAAGTTAATCAACTGACACTGTAGATGGTTCGGGGTGTACGGGTTACTTTGCATCGTGATCACAGAAACTCCGAGACAGGGATTTGTCCCAAGCCCAAACTTATCCCCAACAAGACCGCATTATGATATACTCCCGAAAAGAAAAGTGGGTGATATCTTCACTAGCGTGTTTGAGTTATATAAACACACACACAAACCCCTCGTGCTGACGTTCAAACCATTTGACGGTAAAGCATGCAATGCACGGCCTGACACACTGCCTCATCCAGCACCATCAACGTCAGATAATGGCTTTAAGAAAATATGCGGGCTGGATCATTTGGACAAGCACAAGCTGCATTAATGTCAAGTAAACATTATCGGTCTTGGTGCTTACGCCGTACACTCTACTTCAATGTCCTATATATTTTCACATTTAACACAGCTCAATTATAGTAATGGTTTCTATATAATTACAAACTAAAACAACGCGTTTCGTAACTTCAATGATGTGATCATTACAAAAATCAATGAGATATGCAAAACAGTCTGTGCAGTATTTAAACACTCTACGTGGTGCTGCGCAGAGGCACATGTACATTATGAGCGAGATACCCGTATCAGATATTTTTGACTTCGTGTATTATATGAAGATAATTCTTAAATTTCCCGAAGTCGAAAGCAACGGAAAATGTTAACAATCAAGATTTCTGCCTAACAACAATGCATTAAAATGCATCATCAATAGCTGGTCACAGACCAAAAGGCTGCCGAGAGTGAGCAAAGTTTCTAACCTCCAGAGAAAGTCCAGCTTTGATTTTTAGACCTCGACACCCCTGGTGGAAATTGCACGAGGGAAGTTGTGGGGTGTGAAACGGCAATTACAAAATCATCCTACGCATCGTGTCACCCGGGATGTGAACGATGTCGCACCTTCTGAGGTGTCAAGGCGCTGGACCTACGCGCTGCCAAGAGTTACCGAGGTCTGACCTGGGCGGACGTGAGAGAGCAGGCACCGCGTGAAAAGCCAGGCGGGGGTGTGGTGCGGACACACCAGTGTATCGAAAAAAAGGGAGAGATGTGCCACATTTGCCACGACTAGATTCTTCCACACACGTGGGGCAAATTCTTCGCCTCTACTGTACATCGCAATGACCGGGGTGAGGGTTCAAGACAGTGTCAGCATGGATAGATCCTTGTAAATGTAGAGTTAGTAACAATTAAGGGTAAACACAATAGAGGGGCCTGGTTTGTTGAAAACAAAGATAAAGCATTATGTACTCATTCTTGAACAAATGTTGCTATTGCAACTAATGTAGAAAACAATTTGTGTGTCAAACTTATCAAGCTCTGACAACTTTCGAACAAGAATTTGAATTTGTGCTGAACTATTTACAAACATGTTACAATATTTCAATACTCTATTTCTTTCATAATCTACAACAGATTTGCGCAATGACCAATTTTATTACAATACACATAACATTAAATATCTTGCTTTTTTTTTAAACCGATGTACACATTTCCAATGAGTCGTCAAACACGAGTCGACATTTGACTGTTGGAAAACTTTCAAGTCCACGCAACTCAAAGCAAATCAAGGGCTGTAGGAACAGGTATATATGCATAACAGACTCAGCTCGGACAGGGAATGGGGAAAAAATACCGGGATAAAGTACAGAGATGTACAGAAATTCAGTGTCAATCACCAAAGAGGGTCAATGAACACGCTGGCCCACGTTTAACTACTCAAATCGAGGCGGCCACTTGAATCTGTCATAATTAATTGATAGATATTCACCAACCGAAAAAAAAATATCCCACAGGTACAGCATCGAGTCTAAACCGACACCGAAGGACTGAAATGGAACTCTTGCAGGAAATTGCCAAATTGATTTCCTGACAAGATGAAGGGTCTCTTTTGGCTGTGACAACGATTTCAGTAGAGAGAAAAATAAAATATCTTGTACCAGACAAAAACGGCAACCTCGTTGTACATGTGCATGTAAACTGCATGGCCGGCTCATCGCCACATGCTCCGTTCAAGGAGACTTCAAACTTGCTCGACAGCTGCAGGACTCAAGAGCCCATGTGGTTACCCATACTGATCAAGTTGAATGACCTCTCACGAAGCTTACTGCCATCACAGGCCGATCGAGAAGCCTCAGCAGTGAACACAGAAGACTCTGGCGAGCTGAGTTGACCGACTCACCAGTTTCAACGGCCCCATCATGCAACACTCTCATCACGTGTTTAATTTTCAACAGACCTTCTTCCTGTTTCAAGGATGGATTTGCACCGGGGAGCTGTAAATTAGTTTTGGATTTTTGCCCCTTTACATCTCCCTGGCGCAAATCCATCCTTGAAATAGTTGTTTGCGATACCTGCTGCTACATCTGATTCAAACCAGCCAGCCGACACCGGCAAACTCGTTGGTCGATTGATTAAGACGTCTGCACTAGTATGCAGGAGGTCGTCGGTTCGAGTCCCACCCGAGTACGCTTGTGAGTTTTTTCAACAGGCCTTCGGGGGGCATACACTGAGTACACAGTGTTAAAATACCCGTCGGACAGGGCAAAAGCCCAAAACTAAGACCTTCTTCCTGTGATGTCATGATCGGGCAGGACCTACCATGTGTTGTGATGGTAACGGTGCATAGTGTTGTCATGGTAATCAACCTATTCAAGATAAACCAGTCAAGCATGCGTTCGAATGTGCACTTGCACGTGGTTGAAGCTGCCCGTAGGAATATATGCAATCATCGTGGCCAAGGCGGTCCACACATGGTGGTATTGTCTACATTTAGTCACGTGGGGGAAAAAGGTCTATACCGAAACCGGTTTCTGATGCAACGACTGAAGACTTCTCAGGTAATACATACTGAAGTGGCTGCAATCACTGACCCTTACTCTACTAAGACAGTTGAACCATAGAATGTTGTTGAGGGTGTGTTTCACAGGTGTACATGTACAATGATAGGCACACTTTAGGCTGATTAGATTGACTGATATGAAAAATACTAAAGAAACTTAATACTGAAACAATTTTTAATTACAAATTTTTCATTTGTAAATAACGAGGACAAAGAAAAGGACAAAGGCTACCTTCTGAAAAAAAATTGGAAATACTGCCAAAAAATACTGAAATAAGTTTTAATTACAATTTTTTTTCATATGTAAATATAGAGGACAAAGAAATGAATTTACCGAAAAGTATTACACTATCTATTCCAGTTTTCAGTTTTGATTTTCTTCATATCGGGATGAGCCTGTCGAACTGAATGTGACAACTAGAATTTGAGAGAGAAAACGGACAAGGCTACCTTCTGCAAAAAAAATGGAAATGAATAGCCCATGCAGTGATAACAACAAACAATAAACCAGACGAGACGTCTTCGTTTCAGTTAGAAGCACGAGGTGATTGGGCAATATTGATTCCTGGTATGAAGACGTCAAAGAAGTTCTACGTATGTCATCGGAAAGTGTAGTCGATTTCAATAGTTTGTTCAAGATAACACTTCTGAAGTACATGTTTATCACATGACAAGATCAAATCAAGAGAGAACATGATCATCTCAAAATTGTCCATTCAATAACTTTCCGGATGGCAAGGTCGTTATTTGGCAACTTCACAAAACATGCATGTCTGATATGCCGTTTCGTCCACTTTCGTGAATCTGCACGCGTAGCAGACAACATAAATGTCAAATATTATCTTTGATCTGCCATACGAGGGCACCCTTTCATGTTATGACATAAGCAAACCTTGTAGAGTGCTCAGATTGCAAGCTCCCAAGGGTTTACTAATTGATTGGGTGAAGACAAATCCTTCAATTTTCGAGCTGTTACCATTGTGCTTCCAGTTACCCTGGAAGTCGAGGTCACATGACTTTCTGTTGTAATCTGTAATGTTGCCAAAGAATTACCGTAGATATGGTCAACCTGGTCTAAAAATATGAGCACGCTGCCTTATTCAATTCCAGTCGCTGGAAATTTGATGCCTGATGATTTCACTGTGCCATCACCCTTGAGATTGGGATCAATAATTGTGTCGAGTTTCAAGTTTACAAGGTATACCATCTCAGAGAAAAGCCACAGAGAATTATAAAGAAGAAATAACAAAAAGAGAAGAACATGGGAGGACAAACCGAATGGGTGACCGGGCGGACCCAATCACCTCCTCATTTCAACAAACCACATTTTGCATGTACAGAAATAGGGGGAAAACTTCACCAAAACAATTTGGTTATTTCATTTCTGGAGGATCTACCTGTTCAAATGAACTATCGCTGTTAGTACTGTCTTCACCTCCTGGTGTGTCGGCCGGGTCACGTGGCTCGTCCTCCGCGACGCTCCGCTGGGATGTCTCCTGGTCTTCTCCCTCCTCGTCCTCGTCCAGCTGGCCAGCCGAGAGCTCCCCGATCTCCACCCCGCCCGTCTCGGGGACGTAGAAGTCCTTCTGCTTGGAGAGCGGAGCCAGGAAGTGGATCAGCCCGTTGTCGTAAAGCTCGATGAAAGGGTAGGCACATAGATCGTTTGCCTAGTCATGAAAGTAAAATCGAAACTGTTAATCCCAACAAACTATGCCTGCAATTGTTCTTCCTTTCAAAGACCCCCCCCGACCCCAAACTCCCAAAAAATCTCCACTTGGCAAGACTCTAATGGCCCATTTTTCTGTGTGATATACTCTGCCAAGCTAATGGCTTGTCTACCTTCCGCAGTCCTGTAAAATCATCCCAAACACACCTTCCTCTATTGGGGGGGGATCCAAGCAGCTGAGGGAACTTAAAAACTGATATCCATGTACATGAAATGAAACTGATCTCTTTTGGTCATTCAATACCCTGACTGTTGGTATATGCTTCACATTTAAGCAGGCATGCAGAAGTAGAACTTAAAAATCAAGTCTAACTGCCCGTACTCCAAGCCCTTCAAATTCCAACAGTAGGTTTTGTCAAGTTTGGGCTGATTCAGAGCAACGCATTATGAACTTGTCCAACTCTGTTCGATTCAGGAACGAAGGCCTCCGGTGATGGTGTTGGATTTTGTTTGAGTGGGAAGAAACAGGGGTCATTCCCTATAGTGACTTCCTGGCCATACCGCGTGTTGGACTGCAGTGGATTTTGTCAGATTTAGCACTCCTGCCGTGCAAGTCATCCACACAATGCAGAGATCTATCCACATCAAATGACTCAAACCTCAACAGTTAGCCTTTTGGAGTCTAACTGGTTCTGTCCAGTCATGCGCCATGAATTAAAGTGACATGCTTGTTTCTGTTGAACTCTGTTAGGTTTAGTGCTGTTTCTAGTTCAACAGCCTAGAGTAGGTTGGGATTTCTGTACTCGAACACCAGCTATCACACTTTGACATTTGACAGCACCACAAGATATCCAGCTTATTCAAATATTCTCCAAGTACAGAACCTGTTTAGTGAAGTGAAACATGCCTGGGTGACACTAATTTTACTAGGCACTGGTGTTCAATAGGCAGTTCTACAAAAGTTTCCAAAAAATGCTCAAATGTAGGGATGCATTACAGAATTTTCTTTTGATTTTTCTCTTAATTGCACAACCTAATATTTAACACTGTTTTTCAACGGAGAGAACAGAACACTTTCAAGACAAAAAAAGCAATGTTCAGCAACTTTCAACAACTGTACCAAAAGGCAGCTCCTGTTTTTCTCAGAACCAATGTTTCCATTTTGGGGTCTGAACTTGGAAATGATGGAAGCAATAGCTTTAGACAGGAAGCATGACACTGAATCCTTTGCAATGTACTTCCTTTCATGTGAATCCTGTTGCGCATCTGTTTTCTTTTGGGGGGAGGAAAGTTCAATTTAGCCTGTGGACAAAGTCAGAACAGGATTTTCTGGGGCAATTTCATGTACCACTATCTCTGGGGGCCTTTTCCCTTTCAAAATAATCAAAGGAGTGCTTCATCTCTGCTGCCTGACTTTCATTTACACTGCAATTAGGCAAAGAAACTAGTATCTTTGGCACCAGAGCCTGTTTCTTGGTATGCGTCAGTTTGCTTCAACTTATGCACGTGGAGTGATGGCTGATCACTGGGGTAAAGTACCAGGGGCGTTTGGCCGGCAATGGCAGTTGCAGAATTCGTGGTATGTTTGCAGAGGACAGCATGAAGTAATTAATCACCATTTTGACCGGTATAACTTTGTTTGCCTTGGACCACAGGATAACGCTTCATAGGAGATGTCAAATAAAAAAAAAATGACAGATTCTTTCACCTCTTCATAATGCTGCATTCTTTCAGACGAGTTCAGTGACAATTTCCACATGCGAGCGCTTCCTCATTTGGCAGGATGTGCCCAACACAGGTGCAAAATATAGTTTGGGTGTCACATGAGAAAATATACAGTTGAAAACCCAAAGACATGATTCACTGACTGAACTTGAAGCAACAACTAAGGCTACAACAGAGTTGGAGGAATCTAGGCGGAAAGCGCGCATGTATGAATTTGCTGACTTTATTTCCATTTTTGGAAACCATCTTCCACAACTGTAGTCTGTAAAGTAGAGGCAATCGGATGATGGCAGAATTATAATAATGGAATTTATTGATTACAGAATCAACAGCAAAGTCATGCAAAAGGAACGACAGATTGTGGACAGATTAATCAACCGATCACATCCAGTATGTACAAGAACACAAATATGCACTCAAATTCTATTTCACCACAAGCAAGGAAAACAACAATTCTCTATGCATGTTTCTATAAAGTGAGGTCCCAACCATAAAGTCGCATCAAAGGGTAGACCGATATCTTTTGTGTGACAGGCATGAGTGGACACTTTACTGCATGTACATGTATGTACTATTGTCACTCAATTTAACCCTAGCTCTGTCCTTTCAAACCTAAGTAAACAAAAGAGTGAATGTTACATGTATCTTACATAGGATGGGGTTGGATTCGGGAATGCTCTTAATATGCATGATGCCCGTACAGGGAGGTTGGGTAAAGTAGAAAGATCACCCTATAGTGACGGCCAGCTATTCGACTTGAGCAGAAGCACCCCCTCAGTGGTTGAAACGAGCCATGTTAGTAGGGAGTGTTCCTTTTATTGGTAGCAATGCACTCGTGCAATGCTCGCCTTTCGTTGTCAGCGAAATGCAGCTCTCACCGAAGGAGCCTCCATCGCCAGGAAAATTGCGCCCTCTCTTGGTCCCGCTCAGGGCCCATAATGTGACCGGAAAATACACTACAACAAAGGGTCTTTTTCCCCAAAATTCAAGAAAACTGGTAAATTTGCATGTGCTCCATGCAGGCACAAGAGATGGTGCGTTTTTATGTCGCAACAACATCCATTTGATGGGAAACACTGTGCGAGCGCAGGTCCATGTGTGGTCTGGTGCTGGCCACACTGAGCACACGCAAGCCATTTCTGTTCTACACCAGTCTGCCTCCTCTTTGCCAGTGAGGGAGTAGTTCTGACTCAGGGTGGATGTATTTTTTTTTTTTTTAATAACCCTGGGTTAAATCAGTTCAGCAGTTGCTGTTTTCCACTGATGCCCAGCACTTTACAGAGTTTAAAAAAAGTGAAAGAGTGTAATCTATAATAAAACAGAATTATATTTCAGACTGGGTATGAAAAACACATGAACCCTCCTTTGGTTTTACAGCACAAATGCCCACAGTCACTGGGGTGCGTGTGTTTTCTGTATGGAACTCGAACATGCACAGGTTCAGTGTGTACACAGTTGGTTGCAAGCACAAAATGACCCAGGGTCTTTTGTACAGTCATCTTCACTGCATTTG